CAGAGAGACTGGGGGAATAATTATTTATTAGTTGAAATGAGAGGAGCTGGATGAAGACGCTGGGAGTAAGGATGGGAAGGAGACACCAGCTGTGCTACAAACTTGGTAACAAGCCTGAATGTGTAAGTGGTGGGGACTCACTGGGTCTCAGGGGTAAAGGAGAAGGTCAAATCAAGACGATCTTCAGTACTGGGGGAGGCTGAGGCAGATGGATTACCTGAGGGCAGGATCTCAAGACCAGCCTGAGCAAGACTCTGTTTCTAAAAAATTCAAAAAATAAATTGGCTGGGCCTGTGTGCCTGTTGTCCTCTCTACTTGGGAGGCTAAGGCTGGAGGATTGCTTGAGGCCAGCAGTTCAAGGCAATAGTGAGCTCTGATCCTACCACTGCACTGTAGCCTGGGTGATAGAGCAAGACTCTGGTCTCTTAAGAAAAACCAACCAACCAACCAAACAAAAAACGAGAAAACCGACCCCCCTAAGTAGACTGATGGCGTCTTCCTTGTGTGAGAGGGACGCTTTCTCTGATATTGGTGTCTCATCCACTTTTCCAGATAAGCTGAAGCTGGGGTGCTAAGCTGAGCTGGGGAGTGGTGTCCCAGGAGGTGATGTGTTTAGAGTGAGTGGGGGGTTGGGAAATGACACAGGGATCTTAATTAGGATTGGGCAGTTTGTCCTTTGCCTCCCCTTGGCCTTGCCCAGATCTGGTCACTCTCATCCATCATTCTAAACATAGCTCCAACCTAAGCTCTGGAACCACTCCTTCGACTTAAGTATTTCAGCTGTGAGAGTGTCAGCCAGACTCTCCTTCACCCAAGTGGGCAGAATTAAATAAATGCTCCAAGGGGAGGTTAAGAGGGCAGGGTCAGGGGCATTATTATTTTTACCTCTGGAGAAGGCAATGATTTTCTCTGCATGTTCTTGTAACCCTGGACTCTCTCTCCTTCCCCACTTAGCACAGATGCTGAGGTCTGAGGTTTTTGTAAGGCTGTCCCTATGGCTTGTCTCACTGTGGCTTCTCTCACTCTGGCTTCTCTCTCTTTGGCTTCTCTCTCTTTGGCTTCTCTCTCTTTGGCTTCTCTCTCTTTGGCTTCTCTCAATGTGGCTTCTCTCACTGTGTCTTCTCTGAGAGCACAGAAATACACTGCAGTGTCCTCCAGCTGTGAGTCTGAGATCGTGAGACTGATGGATTTGGCTGCTTTCTGGAAGTTCACAGAGAAGCGATTCTGTCTTGCATTTTGCTGGTCAGATGCTTGGCCAATAACAAAAACCATCTGCCCACTAGGAAGTTGTTTGTACCAGTACAAATCGTAATATGTATAACTAGTGCGATACGTGCAGCGCAGGGTCACCGACTCTCCCTCCCGCACAGACATCTCTGGTTGAGTCTGAGTGACTGTCTGGGCCATGCTGGATCCTGTGGGAAAGAGGAAAGAGAGGGCTTCACTGGGTGTCCTGTCAGAGAGAGGGACAGACAGACTCACGAGCTGCTTCCCATCCCCACACCTTTCTTCTTCTTGATCCAAACCTCAGGCAAAATCCTTCCTCTCTCTCACTCACAGAATCTGGCCCCATGAGGGGATTAGACCCTGTGCCATTATTCATCTTCCTTCCCACTTTCCAGTCCTGTGGGACACTAGTCAAAGCCAACACAAGTCAGTGCCTTCCTTACCAAGACAGGTGGAGACCACGAGTGCCAATACCCAGCCTGGGCATGTCATGCTGGCAGCTGCCTCCTGCAGGCTGAGCAGCCTCCTGTTCTTCCCTGGACCTTGTTATCAGCTGGGTCATGACGTCACTGCTGCAGGACAGGAAGTGGGAGGGTGTGTGCTGCTGCCTCCCTCGGGAAAGTTCATCAGTGCTTTTTGTCTTTGGCTTCAGAGAATAAAAATGGCTATATAATGTGAAATAAAAAAGATGTCAGCGTTGTAACTCATTCTGGGATCCAAATGAAGAGGGGCAGGAGCTGGCAAATTGTTTTTGTAAAGATGCAATGTGGAGAGAAGGGCGAGTGGAGGAAAGACAGGGAAAGTTAATGTGGCCTCTCTTTCTCCATAAGCTTCTCTCTCTCTCTCTCATCCTCCATCCTTCTCTCTTTCTTTTGCTTTCTTTCTTCTTTTCTTCTTCCTTCCCTCCCTTTGTCTTTCTCTCTCTTTCCTTTTATTCTCCTCCCTCCCTCCCTCCCTCTCTTTCTTCTCTACCACCTTGAAGCCAATATGAAAAAAAATAGTCTTGGGTTGTGATAAAATAGGTATTAGTTATATTATTCTTTGACCAAACTGTAGAATTTTGAGAAATGATTAAAATAATGGCAATACCATCAATAACAGATAATCTAAAGAAAATTGAAACCAGGATTTTGACATCTAATTGCACTGAAATTTGCTGATGACTTTCTTCTTTTATAAAAAGTGTAGCTAATTCTGGTTGTGTCAGGAAGCTCTACAATTCTGGTGCCAAGTGTTGCTGTAAGCACTTTTAGGCCTTCTGTTAATGACTCTGTGAAGGAAGGATCAGGACAATCAACATCACCTTCACCTGGGAACATTCTGAGTGGCACGTCTGGCAGCTCGTCACTGGCGTCTCGGTTTTCCTCGTGCACAGTCTCTTCCCCGGGAGGGGAGAGGTCAGGAGTCACAGTCTCCATTTCATAGAAGATGCAACAGGGCAAAAGAGAAAACTCACCATGCAGGGGCCACTAGTCTCATTTGTATTAATTTTCTCTCCCATTGAATTTGTGTCATTCAGTCGTAGCTAAGGCCATCTCCATGGCCCAGTTTTATGTAAAAATTTCCCTGGTGAAACAAGGAGAATAAAAGACTAAATTCAAAGCTAAGTTGCCCGGTAGAGCGTGGTGGCCTTATGGTCCTATTTATTGTTTCCATTTGCACCCAGTGGTGAAGTGAGTGTTGTGTCATAGCTACTCTCTGCTCCAGAGACTTCTTAAAGTGGAGTTTTCTGAGTTGCTGTGAGGGGCACAGATTTCCTCCTTGTTTGCTCAGTGTTAGACTTCTGCTGTACCTACTGTGTTCTGGGCAAAGTCACAGGACATTGGTAACTGTGCTGTTACTTTCTGATCCCCCTTTTCCTCTCCAGTCTCTACAGGAAACTCTAGATCAGTGGTTCTCAACCTTCCTAATGCCTCCTAATACTGCGACCCTTTAATACAATTCCTCATGTTGTGGCGACCCCCAACCATAAAGTTATTTTTGTTGCTACTTCATAACTGTAATTTTACTACTGTTATGAATTATAACGTAAATATCTGATATGCAGGATGTATTTTCACTGTTACAAAGGAGTTGCGACCCACAGGTTGAGAACCACTGCTCTAGATAATTGGGCTGTCATCTCTCCCAGTCTCAGTCCAGCTGAAGCTGTGTGTTCACCAATGTGGCTCTCAGGAGTTTCATTAACAAGGCTCTCAGGCGTGGTCGTTTCTTTGTCTCAAGATTTCCCTAATGCTGGTTAGGGGTCCCAAGCCAGAGGCTTCATCTTGCTATTTAAGATCCTTTTCTGATTCCTGGGCCTGGGGAATCAGAACTTTAGTATGTTGTATTCACCATCCAATTAGTTCCCAAATGCCACAGATAGTTAATCAGGTTACTAACACTCAAGATAAAAAAATTATTTATGAAAGAACTTTTAATTTTGCAAATATGGGGGTGGTGGTGGACAGACACCTATATTGTCTGGAAGCAAAACCCTTCCTGGACCATCTGAGAAATTCCAGCATGCTCCTTTGGAATGTCAACCCTATCTGACAACTACTGTCACAGGATTTCCCACTGGAGTAAGTTGGTTAAACTGTAAAAAGTAAAAACTAGAAGAAAATGTGAGTCCCATATACCTACTGCCATGCTGTCATGGGAGAGCATTTCCAGATGCAGGAACTGAAGCACATCAGCAGTCAGTGGCCCAAGTGAGAGAAGCTGCTATAATCACGGGGCCACCCTCCTGGCTGGGCGGCCTCCACTACAGAGCACAAGGGTCCCCAGTCCTGATCACCTCGGGCAGCTCCTGGTCAGTGTTCTCATCACTCTCACTCCTTATCTGAAAACACAGTAAACAAAAAACTTAACAAAGAAATTTGTTAAAAGGTTTTCTCTGATTTGTTGTATTCATTTACCGTAGTCTTTGGTCAGAGGAAGTGATGGGGATGGTTTACTAACCTCCGAGTGGGGGTCCTAATGCAGGCTGTGGGGCTTGGCTCATTTAGGTGGTTTCTGGGGTGCATAGGTTTCCTGTGGCTGAGTCCCTGCTCACATGATGGGTCCCCATGCTCCACTGGTCAGAAAGAAACAAGACAGCTGCATGTGTCCTCTAACGGGGCTCTGCCTGAAAGCAGCTGTACTCACCTGTCACTTGCTTGCTTCTTTGTGTTTAGCTTCTTTCCTACAATAACTTACAGCTTTGAGATGCTGCGAATCTGAGAGTAACTCTTTCAAATTTGCTTATATGATAGATTGAATAAAGCAAATGGTGACTGTGCCCTTTGTGACAAATCTTCTCTGCGCTTGGATCCACTCCTCCTCCTTCTCCCTTTCTCCCAAACTGTCCTTTGTCCCTTCTACCCAGTCAAGATCCAACAAGAGTCTATAGCATTCCTGGAGCAAGAAACCTTTCCCTGGTAGAAACAAGGTGAGTGGGATAATTCTAAATCCAGGGATTGCTTTTCTAGATGATCCATTCTGGACAGATATTTAATGCAAAGGAAAGGTGCAACATTTCCCTAGAAGATTCCAAACCAAAGCCTTTCTTCCTTAGTCAATTTACATTTCTCATTGTTCTCAGTTTTTAATTTTAAAGAATACTTTTCTCATCGAGTGATGCAGAAATAACAGCAAAAGACAGAATTTGTTTTACTATAATGTTGACGTCTACTTTTAAATTGCTTGCTTGATTCTAAGATCCTGCACCAACTAATAGAAAAATGGAAACTCCAAGATCTCTGAAAGTTTAGCATATGGCTTCCTGAAGAACCACTTTGTTTGATGTACATCACACCAAGCTTTTCTAAGAGTAGACCAAATTAGATACCAAATGATGGTCCAAGAAAGACACAGTGGGGTAAGTTAGAAATTAACCCTAATGTCTAAGGACTGTGTGCCTGGTTTATCTTTATGGCAACTCAGTACCCTGATGAGTAGGGAAGAATATGGAACTTGTGAAAACCAGGTCTGTAAAGTGCCTGGGCTAAGTGAAACCTCACATCAATTCAGGAGCTATTTTGAACGGAAATCACCCAAAGGCTTCTGCAGCCAGACCAGGAAGAGAACAAAGTGTACAACAGAGAAGGATGTAGCTCTGTTTAGTTGGTCTGTATGATGTGATATGAAAGTTTGTCCTTTATGTGGTTCATGAGTGCAGAGAAGCTATTAGCGTCCCCCTGTCCTCAAATAAACTCTATGGTGGAAACGGATCATCAACTTGCAACAAATTTGGGCAAGTGTTGGGATTTTTCCTTTCCTGCAATATGGGCTATTGGTGGATGGTAGAATTGCTCAGGGAAAAGGAAATTTATCTGTCCATTGAATCAATTATTATGGAAATACAGTTCTTCAATACAATTAGAAATGTGCTTATAAAAGTACATCAGCGATGTTATTTGACAATTTAAATTTAGATTAAAGGCTCTTTTTGAAAAACAATTCCAAGATATTTCCTAATGTCATGCTTGCTTCGGCAACACATATACTAAAATTGGAGCAATACAGAGAAGATGAGCATGGCCCCTATGCAAGGATGACACGCAAATTCGTGAAGCGTTCCATATTTTTGTCTCTTAGTTTTATAAACATATATGTATTCAAAATAAAAAAAAAAGACATTTCAAATGTTGTTTATGGTAAAGATGAATAATGTCCTGCCATGTTTTCTCTTTGTCTGGAAGGAAGTCCGAGCTGGGCTCTGTGCAGTCTTCTTACACTAACAAGTGCCTCAAGGTAACATTTCATCTTCTCTCACAGCCCCTCCCAATGAAAACTGCCCCTTTCAGGCACATTCTAAAACTTTCAATTTCCTAACCTTTTCTTGTTTATTATCTCTTGATCATTGCCCTTGATAAGTTTATCCTCTCTGGAATGTGTTTTCTTGTCATCTCCACATTTAAAATCCTACACATCCTTCCAGTATATGTCCCAAATCCAATTTCCATGATGTTGGAAGTGACTTTTTTTAATCCTTCATGTGGTTTTACAAGCTCTTTCATTGTTTTTTTAAATGCTATTTGCTCCCATGCAAAACTTAACACTTTTAGCTCTGCAGAAAATCATATCATTTTCAATTCATTCTGCAATGTCACCAGAAAGTGGACATTCTGCCTTTCCTTGAATAGTCTCTGTAATAAGGAACATCTGATGCCTTGAAGCAGGCTGTTTCAGTTTGGGAAACCTCTAATTTCTAGTTCTTCCTTACATAGAGCTGAAATCTGTTTTTGAATAAATTCCTACTGTTGGTTATGAATTGGCCTTTACAGATGGGTATGAGTAAATACTGTATAACTAGTTATTTATTCATTAGCCCATAGATTGGTTCGTGTTTATTGAAAAAATGATGTCATGATGTCATAAAGCTAACATTTAGAGGGAGAGATATTCTCATGTCTGTTGGATAATAAGGTCTTTGCAGACAAGCATGAGGCCTAATATCTTTTTATGTTGCCAACAAAGTATGTAGAGAGCAGGAAACAGAAAGGCCTTGGATGTGGATTATGAAAAAC